CTGCTGCCGCCGCTGCTGCGGCAGCGGCAGCCGATGGAACATTGGGAGTACGAATCAATGATGGACTTCGTAAGGCACTAGTTGGATTCGAAAAATCCACTCCATTCAACAAAAGTGGGCTGGCGCCGGGTATGGATAGTGGGGCAGTGGATGCGGGTGGGAATAGAAATCCCGCCGTTGTGCTATTAAAGCCGAAACCGGTAAGTGATTTGACAAATGAAGATGCGGCAACCTGAGCCATGGACAAATTATGCTGAGTAATTTGTTCGAAATCCAGATTGGTGTCAACCTGGTCAGCAGGTTGTTTTGGAATGTCCCTATCGGCTGAGACTGGTGAGCCGTGGTCATCTGCGGACATTGCCACCGCAAATGGAGTACTTGATGTCGGACCGACGCCAAACATGTGAACTTGAGCTGATCTAAGTACTTCAAATGGATCGGCTTTGGGTTCTGGTGTGTTCGTTCCGATCGGTACAACAATAAAAAAGTGAGAGAGAAATTGTGCAATAAGAAAATGCCAGCCCTTTCTTTTGCTTTGTCATCAAATCAATATGAAGATAAAGAACATAAAAGCGATGGAAATATTTTTGATGACCAAAAAAGACAACTGTTTCGTCCTTTTTGAGACTCGTCGGCAGTGCGAAAGTTTGGTGTTCCTGTCAGGACTCGAACCNGTACGGACTTCAAACCCTTACCACTTGCTTCTGAACAATAGAATGAACTAATCTGAACTTGATACTCTACGCTACGTACGTTAGATCTATATTTGCTATTGAAAGTTGGCTTTGAATTTATAAAAACCAAATCGTTTTTTTAATTATCGTGAACACGCAACAACTCCTTATCAAAGGTTTTCGGTTTCCAGTTATTTTCGAAAATCTAGTGCAGCAGTTCACTTATGATCATTCTCCGTCCTGAATCACTTGCGAGTTTTGTCTGAACTAGAATCCCTAGATAAACGGTAAGACGAACCATCCATACTATTTATTTTACTTTAGCACAAATTGTACTCATTAAATGAGTTTTATCTTTCTATCTTCAATTTCTTAATATTGTTAATAGTCACTAATGGGCTTTGTGCCCTCCCGTGATCGTGTGATAAAATTCACTTCTTGAAGTCCACAACACAATTGCATTTTCATGCTCAGAACCCTTTTGCCTATTGACTGCCCCCCTCTCCTGGTTAGTTATTTGTTTTTGGAAGTTTGAGATAATGCGGATTCAGACTGATCTTCCTTTGAACACCATCTTCACGCAACATCCTTAGGTCATTCGCTCAATCCTCGGGAAGCATCAAACTTGAATTTTGCTCTCACTTTCCAATCCAGAGTTTCAATCCCCAGACCCTTAAGTTGAGAGTTGTGCGTATGGGCTACCGCTATGAAAACTAGAGCACACAGGGTCTGGCAGAAATTAACGAGCTAGTTTTGTTCGAATATTCACTTCATTACTATCCGGACGATAGTAATTGAAGGTCACCCAGCACAGTGTGTGATCATTGTGTTAGTAATCCTACAGCCAAAATCCGCCTTTCAACCAAGTTTGTTTACACGGTAGTAGTGATTACGACCAATTCCTGACCTCTGGATTCGGATTCTACGACGATTGAAGTTCGCAACTTTTAAGAATCTAGCAGATGAAGATAGTGCAACATTATCCATTTCCGGATTGGACCGGTGTGCTCAGCTACCCGGTGGTCAAAGAAGAAGCACACTTGCGTCATACCCGAATCCAATCCTTATTAATATTCGCATTGCTGACGTCACCCGACAAGGTTGAAAAAGCTACGTATTGATTCTGTTCAGGCGTTTCAATGCTAGCTTTTTCGGCTCTGTTGATAAAGAATGCCAATTTAATGATCGCGGTAAATCTTCCTCATATTCAATAGTGCTTTGATCAAACCCGACGCTGATTTCGTTATATTTTTAATCCCACATTTGAGACAGTTCTCTTAGAGGACATGAATTTCAGCTTTTTCATTCGATTAGCACACCATTACAAATACCACGTTTTTCAATCGATATCTTGTACGGTTAAAAGTATTTCACTGAATAATAACTTCCGGTTCCATGCAATCTAATTTTTCACATTTTTGGCGCAAGACAAGGGTACAAATTAGAGGCTTATAAAATGGTGATAATGTCAAATCCACCAAAATTAAGTATACGACCGAGAGTCATTCGAGTTGCTTTGAAGAACCTTACTCGAAATGTGCGCAACCTAGCGAAAAAATGTAAAGTTCAACACGGAATATTAGCACATTCGGTTAAGCTTTTCTGTTGGTCCCTCTGCAGAAGATTTCTTCCATGAAATAATATCATAATAGTGAAGTAGCCGTATTGATTTTTGCTCGCAAGTACTTAAACACAACTTAGCACAACAAATATACCTCATAAGCGAACGCAGTGGTTCGTTGTATTAGTGATCACTGCTGCCCTCAGAAGATAGAACACATTGTCCATCCCGGAAACTCATGTCAAACAAAGTACAATCACTTCGGAAACAATCGGTTTATTTTTCTTGAAGATTTGTTTAAATCACCCAAGAGCAAAGGTCCCACTTGTGTATAAGCTGTTTTAGCAACATGCATGCCTTTCTCACCAACATAGATATATTTACATTTTAAAGCACCAAACAACCCGTGTACCTCATTTTTTATAACTCCTGAGTCTCCCGTTGGGATGGACCTCGGGATATTTAAAATCCACACGCGGATGATGATGATGATGATGATGAGGATGATGATGATGATGATGATGATGATGATGATGATGATGATGATGATGATGATGATGAT